AGATATTCATATCTACCACTTACAGCTGTTGGCGGGCATCTCGGGGGGGGGGGGGGGGCTATCGTGTTTGCAGCATTATCAGCAAGATGGTGCAGTGAGCGCGTGGCGGCTCTCATCTCTCACGCGTACTTTGGCCCGCGTAGAGATTAAGGGGATGTACTCTCGATCGCGCGCCCTTATTTTGCAGTGGGGAGAATCGTACGTCATGGCTAGCCTTTGGGTTCGTCGGAACAATTCTATTGTATTTACCAGGCGCACAAAGGTCACTACAATTTTTGCACAGCCTGCGTTTGCGAAAACGGTGGGCATTTCAGACAAAGCGAAGCAACAACTGAGACGCTTATTCGCGTTAATCTGCACCTGTGAGTACGTTTCGTGCGTCCTTTGTGCGTGAGAAACGCGGGGCAGGTTTCGATATACTTGCCACTCTGCGCGTGACCTTCCAATTTGTTTCTATCGCGTTCATCGCTTCGTCTTTGTGGCAAATCTGTGACTTAAAAAAAAAGGAAAGGCATGCAAAAACCCAATTAATGAGCAAGCGGCGACCGTGTGCTCAGATTTGGGCGCACGTTAAAGAACCCCAGGTGGTGAAAATTTCCGGAGCCCTCCACTACGGCATCTCTCATAATCATATGGTGGTTTTTGGGACGTTCAACCCTACAAATTAATCAATCATCAATCGAGCAAGCGGCGAGGAGGAAAGTACAGGTATTCAGAGTTTCGCTTCAGAATGTATTCGCGGCTCTTAACGAGGTAACCGACGTTAGCGTTGATACAAAAAACAACCACCTTACTGGTATCATCAAAAGAGTGTGCAATGGAAGTCAGTAAAGTAACTAGGTAGGACTATGAAAAATTATCTCAGGAGACGAAAAACCTCATTAAGGGACGACAAAGCATGAAAGCCTCAAATTCAATCGACAAAATCGAGCTAGTGGAGCTTTCGAAGTTAATAAATAGGCGTAAGGTAGCCGACATGCGAATGTATAACACGGAGAGAACCGAGCAGGATGTGAGAAATGGCTGAGGCCATACAGCTTCGATGCCAAACTTATGCATAGGCGGAATCGAGTGTACGCATCAAGGGACAAGAAATACAATGTCATTAACAATATGGATAGTAGTTGAGGTGGAGGAAGCGTTCTACAGAGAGCTGTACAGTAGACGAAACAATCAGGATGATGTCGCTAGAAACAATAATAGCTCAAAGATTGATATGTGGGCTTTAACGTCCCAAAACCACCATAAAATTATGAAAGACACCGTAGCGGAGGGCTCCGAAATTTCGACCACCTAGGGTTCTTTAACGTGCACACAAATCTGAGCACACGGGCCTACAACATTCCCACTTCCATCGAAAATGCAGCCGTCGCAGCCGGAATTCGATCCTGTGACCTGCGGGTCAGCAGCCAAGTACCTTGGCCACTAGACCACCACGGCGGGGCTCCCAAAGGAATTCGGCATCCTGTCAGTAATGATAGGAGGGAAGTAAAGAAAACCCTAGAAGAAATAGAAGAAAAGGCAAAGCCACTGGTGAGGGTAAGGTAACAACGAACCTGCTGAAAGATGGCGGAGAAACTGTGTCAGACAAAAACAGGCCACCTTATATACGAAGCGTCGCTTGACGGGAAGAGTACCAGAATCTTGGTAGAACGCTAACATCATCCTAATTTATGAGAAAGGAGACTTCAAGGACTTGAAAATTGTAGGCCGATCAGCTTGCTGTCGTTCTCTACACACTATTTACAAAAATAATAGCTAATAGAAATTGGGTGACATCAGAGTTCAATCAACCAAAGGACCTAGCAGCATTTCCTACAGGCTACTCCACAATAGAATATATTTATATTATAAATCAGGGGATAGAGAAATGCGCAGAATACAACCAACCCCTATACATAACCTTCATAGATTGCGAGAAGGCGTTGGACTCAGTCATAACATCAGCAATGATGCAGGCACTACGGAATCAGGCAATCGAAGAACCCTACATACATATTCTGGAAGAAATCTATGGTGTATCCACCGCCACCATAGTTCTCCATAAAGGAAGTGGCCGAATTCCAATAAAGAAGGGTGTAAGGCAGAGGGACACAATCTCTCCGATGCTATTCACGTGTTTACAGGAAGTTTTCAGGGCCCTAGATTGAGAAAATTTAGGGATAAGAGCTAATTAAGGTACTGTAGGTAAAGGTTGTGCTGCAAAGTTAAGCACGGAAAGAAAAACTGGATTGACATAGACAAAGCGCAACAATTTAATTTATTGATTCGAAAAGCCAAAAAGAGATATAAAAGAGTTTGATGAAAGCACGTGTTTTACGGCATAGGTAGCACCCCCATAGCGACCCGTATGTAGGCTTCCCCTGGATAGGATATCACCAGCTGTGGGTGGGGTTCACACTTATCTTTAGATTGTAACCAACTATAGAGAAGACTAAAGTTGCGAGAGAATGCACCTTTCGATTTTCTAGGGGTGTATACATTGTTCAAACGCGTCCCAGTACCTTCGTCTATCTTACGCTAAGTATGCCAGTGAAGTCAGTACGTTTAAGTTGATTGATTTGTGCGGTTTAACGTCCCAAAGCCACCATATGATTATGAGAGACGCCGTAGTGGAGGGCTCCGGAAATTTCGATCGCCTGGCGTTCTTTAACGTGTGCCCAAATCTGAGCACACGGGCCTACAACATTTCCGCCTCCATCGGAAATGCAGCCGCCACAGCCGGGATTTGATCCCGCGACCTGCGGGTCAGCAGCCGAGTACCTTAGCCACTAGACCACCACGGCGGGGCTCAGTACGTTTAAGTTCAGAAGCGAAAAGTAGTAAAGATTTTCAAATCGACACTAAAGCAAAATTATGAATTGGTTTAGATTGACAACCTGCACACTAAGAACTCTGATGTCACATGTTTCACCATCATAAGTTCACTATTAAAGCGGTGAAAATCAAGGTTCACACATTATTTTAAATATCGTGCCGAAATTTCCGCAAGTGACGTCAAAAATTTGATTGATGATTGATTTGTGGGGTTTGACGTCCCAAAACCACCATATGATTATGAGAGACGCCGTAGTGGAGGGCTCCGGAAATGTCGACCACCTGGGGTTCTTTAACGTGCACCCAAATCTGAGTACACGGGCCTAAAACATTTCCGCCTCCATCGGAAAAGCAGCCGCCGCAGCCGGGATTTGATCCCGCGACCTGCGGGTCAGCAGCCGAGTACCTTAGCCACTAGACCACCACGGCGGGGCTCAGTACGTTTAGGTTCAGAAGCGACAAGTAGTAAAGATTTTTAAATCGACACTAAAGCAAAATTATGAGTTGGTTTAGATTGAAAACCTGCACACTAAGAACTCTGATGTCACATGTTTCACCATCATAAGTTCACTATTATAGCGGCGAAAATCAAGGCTCACACATTATTTCAAATATCGTGCCGAAATTTCCGCAAGTGACGTCAAAAATTTGATTGATGATTGATTTGTGGGGTTTGACGTCCCAAAACCACCATATGATTATGAGAGACGCCGTAGTGGAGGGCTCCGGAAATGTCGACCACCTGGGGTTCTTTAACGTGCACCCAAATCTGAGTACACGGGCCTAAAACATTTCCGCCTCCATCGGAAAAGCAGCCGCCGCAGCCGGGATTTGATCCCGCGACCTGCGGGTCAGCAGCCGAGTACCTAGCCACTAGACCACCGTGGCGGGGCCATCGAAAATTTCAAAATGCACTTTTCGTATTTTCGTGGCATTGGCTCGATAAAGACTTTCGAAACTTAGTATTCTAGGTTTACAGCACCAACAGCTGCCCATGTACACCATCTTCATGGATTAGAAGCTAGGTATGGGACACATTGAGCGCCTTCAAAATTTATGACATTATGGTGTTTGGTGCGAAGATCTCAAGGTGGGATCTGCACCCGCATTTTCTTCTCGCGCGTTTCATCGCCTAATAAGCATCCTGTGACGTTAAGAGTGTTAAAATATTCTTCGCTAGTACTGGAAAAATTGTTTTTTCTTTTAATGTCTTCTTGAAGGGTGGCGCTTGGAGATGTTATGAATATTTAAAGGAGGCCGAGCTTCCGTCGACAAGTACGACAGATTGGGCTAGTTTGTCCATGATGAAATTGGAAGGTAATAGCGCAGCTCTGTTTGAGCCTGAAGAAAAGAAGCCAGTGAAGTATAGGGGAATACAGACGACAGGAGAGCTTCCTTCTTTACTCAGTGAAATTATCCAGGATCTTCAGTTAAACGACACGAAAGTATTCCGGACGTGTACAGAAAGACAGCAGAATGAGCGTGGCTTACGGCCAGGCTCGAAGTCTGGCGAAAAAAATTTACGCAACATACTAACTTGCAAACGTTTCACTGCTATTACAGCTGCAGTGTCCTCGCCGAGGAGCACGAGACGTACCGAACAAGGAAGCCGATCTCACAAGCTCTTTTCCACGTGAACCAGTCCACGCGTGACAAAGTGTCTCTTGCTCTTACTGAGCACAGCAATGAGATTCGGTGTGCGCTCCTTTCACAGAAGACAGTACACTATTTGTGCTGGACGTCGTTAGTCAAATGAGGTTCGATACGACCGGGCCCTTCTCTAACCGCTGGTCACGGTATTGCGCTTTCCGATTGCGCGTTTTGATTTCCCGGAAATAGTGTATTCCCTCATTATCCCTGGCCGGGCATGCTTAGTGCCATCAAGCAGCTGTTATCTCCAACCTCGAGGCAATTAGTTTCACCACCGGGCTCGTGGACGTTGTGTAATAGACGTGCAAGCGCATCACGAAATGAATGAAATACAAGCGAGAAATAAAATTAAACTGAAAGAATGCCTGTTACCGTCGTGGCTGATCACCATCTCTCTGGTGGCGCGGGTAAGTCTGTCAAGGAAGGTTTCTCTTACATCTGTCATCTTTTCTTTTTCTCGTCGAACCAGTGGTGACTGGAACAATGGCATTTCCGGCTCTGCCGTATAAATTGAGCTGGTAAAGCTTCCCAGACCACACGTGCGCTCCATCGCTGGAAGACCTAAACCTCCAGCAACCCACACCACGGTGACTGTTTGACTTCTGTAGTCGCTGCGTAGCGCAGTTCGCCAACTGAATCCCGTGTTGTCTTTCGAATACGTGTTCTGAGAACATGAAGAACCAAGTTGTGGCCATCTTCGCGATCGTCTGCTTCACCACCGCCACGGTGAACGCTAATGGTGAGCATGTCATTCTTCTTTCATGCGTATATATGGGCGTTTACCTGAAGATCCTTCACCATTGGGATTGTGCAGGTTAGTTCATTTCTGAGGTCCTATGCCATTAAATTTCTTGATAGATTGATATGTGGGGTTAAACGTCCCAAAACTGCCATATGATTATGAGAGGCGCCGTAGTAGCGGGCTCCGGTAATTTCGACCACCTGGGGTTCTTTAACGTGCCCCCAAATCAAAGCACACGGGCCTACAACATTTCCGCCTCCATGGGAAATGCAGCCGCCACAGCCGGGATGCGATCCCGCGACCTGCAGGTCAGCAGGCGAGTACTTTAGCCACGAGACCACCATGGCGGGGTCATTAAATTTCTTAAATTAGCTAGAGGGGACTCTGATGCTGTGATCGTTCAGCCACCATGGGTGTGATGAATACAGAAAGTTGCCTATAGTATTCGTGCTTGCGGCTTTGTTTATTGCTGTGTTTGGTTTTGTTGCGAATAAGAGAACGAACCGTTGTGAGCTCTGTGAGCCTATTTGAATATGTAAGTCTAAGAAGGTTAAGGTGGCGAAGTGTTACTGCTCGGCATTTGCTGACTGTCGGCTCGTTGCAAAGTGGCTTGAAGACGTGCAAAGCCAAGCAGACTAAAAAGAAAACAACAACAACAACAAAGATCCGACAAATTTGTGTGCTGCTCACCATTCCCATGCTGGCCGAAGCGCTGTTCGTTGTTGCTCCCCTAGACACTAGCGTCAGAGTTCCCTCTAGTGTATTTATAGGATACTATGCTGAAGACGACATAGAATTTGATGTTTAACACATAACTCGTGATACTATTATTTTAGTTATTGACACCTAGATATTGCGTCATATAACAAACATTGATTCATTGATTGTTTGACTGATTGATATGTGGGGTTTAACATCCCAAAACCATCATATGATTATGAGAGACGCTGTAGTGAAGGACTCCGAAAATTTCGACCACCCGGGGTTCTTTAACATGCACCCAAATCTGAGCAAACGAGCCCACAGCATTTTCGCCTCCATCGAAAATGCAGCCACTGCAGCTAGAATTCGAGCAGCCGAGTTCCTTAGCCACTAGACCACCGCAACGGGCGTATATAACAGACATTTTCATCGTGAAGTGCAATATACGTTATAGATTCGGCGGCATGAATAATAATGGGGTCTGCATCCCATAGATTTTGTCTATGTGCTCAAGCCTGCGCATTGCTAGTGAGATCAATTAGTTAATACGCACGACTTGGCACATTCGACGTATTCGTGCGGCTACACCAATCTTTCGGGGTTCGTCACTGCCTGCGTCACGCTCGTTCACTTTACTTTTTAAGCAAACAGCACAACAGTGTTATCAAACGTTTGTGTTTTTGTAACCAGAAGTGTCGTCTGCACATATCCCAATTAAGAGCGAGCAGCAAAAGTTAACTTTGACGGCTGGTGTGCAAAACAACAAAAAAGAGACCAGGCAAGTTATAACATGATTTACCGATTTGTAGACCCTCCTTATTTTTGACGCGGTGACACAAAAAAGACCGGCTGTAGTATATTGATATAAACTACAAAGCAATAATATTGTTACGTGAGTAACGAGACAAAGTATTGCGAATATATTCGAAAAATATATTTGCAAGAGCGGTTGCAGCACTGGCCAGTCTGGCTCCGAGCTCGAGCAGCCAGCGAGCCTCATCTTCCTCGTCGGGCGCACACGCGCATTCGCACTATGGTTTGTGGCAGCCTACAGGTAGCATAACCCCCGTCGGCAAAGGCGCCGTCTCGGCGCATCTAGATGTCAAGATCATTGGGCGAGTGGTACTGCTTCAGGCGTGCGACGTGTACGATGTCGGTGGCCCTAGGGGTGGATGAAGACGGCGAGGCAGCAGGAGTGATTTCATAAGTGACGGGAGTCACCTCACGAAGCACTCTGTAGGGCCCTGTGTACCGAGAGAGCAGCTTGTCAGACAGGCCAACGTGCCTGGTCGGAGACCACAGCAGAACCAACGAACCGGGCGAAAAGTGCACATCGCGGTGTCGTTGGTCGTACCGACGCCGTTGGTTTGCTTGGGAGGTCAGAAGGCGAGCACGAGCGGTTTCGCGTGCGTGGGCGGCCCGGCTGATGGCGTCCAGAGCATATTGTGAAGTTGGAGCTGCTGGTAACGGAATCGTCGTATCGAGGGGTAATGTGGGTTCGCGGCCGAACAGCAAGAAAAAAAGGGGAGTAACCAGCCGTGTCGTGGCGCGAAGAATTGTAGGCAAATGTCACGTATGGTAAAGCGATGTCCCAGTCAGAGTGATCTGAGGAAACGTACTTTGCAAGCATGTCAGTTAGGGTTCGGTTCAGGCGTTCTGTGAGGCCATTTGTTTGCGGATGGTACGACGTAGTGAGCTTGTGGCGTGTTGCACAAGAGCGTAGGATGTCCGCTATGACTTTCGATAGAAATGTGCGGCCTCGGTCCGTGAGCAGCTGGCGTGGAGCACCATGTTGCAAGATCACGTCGTGTAGAAGAAAATCGGCGACGTCAGTGGCGCAACTTGTTGGAAGGGCGCGTGTGATTGCGTAGCGTGTGGCGTAGTCTGTGGCCACAGCTATCCACCTGTTGCCAGCAGAAGACAGAGGAAAAGGGCCGAGTAAGTCCAAGCCGACGCGAAAGAAAGGTTCTGTAGAAATATCGAGTGGTTGAAGGCGCCCAGCCGGAAGCGTCGATGGTGTTTTGCGGCGCTGACATTCCTCACACGCCGCGACGTATCTTCTGACGGACCGTGCCAGACCTGGCCAATAGAAGCGACGGCGAATCCGGTCGTATGTGCGGGACACACCCAGGTGACCGGCAGTAGGAACGTCATGAAGTTCGTGGAGTACAGCCAAGCGGAGGTGTTTGGGTATGGCAAGCAGCAGAGATGGGCCGTCTGGATGGAAGTTATGCCGGTATAATGTGCCATTCTGGAGTACGAACGAGCGATAGGATCGGTTCGATGGGGAGGAGTCGAGGCGCTCAATGATAGCTCGTAGGGCTGCATCACGGCGTTGCTCGTCGGCTATGTGGTTCAGTTGAGAAACGGAGCACACGCAGGCGTCGTTGTCAGGTATGGTGGCCGATGGGTCAACTGGATAGCGAGAAAGGCAATCGGCGTCCTGGTGCAGGCGTCCAGACTTGTATATCACAGAAAAGGTGTATTCTTGCAGTCGCAGAGCCCAGCGACCAAGTCGACCTGTAGGATCTCTTAAGGATGAAAGCCAGCAGAGCGCGTGGTGGTCGGTGACGACGGAAAAGTGAGTGCCATATAAATATGGACGGAATTTTGAGACCGCCCAGACAAGAGCAAGGCATTCTCGCTCCGTGATCGAATAGTTACGCTCTGCAGGTGTAAGGAGGCGGCTAGCATACGCGATAACGCGGTCGTGTCCCTGTTGGCATTGGGCGAGAACGGCTCCGATACCGTGACCACTGGCATCAGTTCGGACCTCAGTTCGGGCAGATGGGTCAAAGTGGGCGAGGATAGGGGGCGTCGTCAAAAGTGTTATGAGGTGAGAGAAGGCGGCAGCTTGAGTGGACCCCCACGAAAATAGAACGCCTTTCTTCAAAAGATCGGTAAGTGGTTGGGCGATTGCCGCAAAATCTTTCACGAACCGCCTAAAGTAGGAGCAAAGTCCCACAAAGCTCCGGACATCTTTGGCGGATTGGGGTACTGGGAAACTCGTGACGGCACGAATTTTCTCAGGGTCCGGTCTCACACCAGAAGCATCGACAAGGTGGCCCAGCACGGTAATCTGTCGGCGGCCGAAGTGACACTTCGAGGAGTTCAACTGGAGGCCAGCTTTGCGGAAGACGTCGAGAATGGCCGACAGACGCTCAAGGTGGGTCTCAAACGTAGGTGCAAATACGAGGACGTCGTCTAGGTAACACAGGCATGTTGACCATTTGAACCCGTGTAGCAGAGAGTCCATCATACGTTCGAACGTGGCGGGGGCATTGCATAGACCGAAGGGCATAACCTTGAATTGGTATAGGCCATCTGGAGTGATGAAGGCGGTCTTTTCTTGGTCTTTCTCGTCTACGGCAATCTGCCAATAACCAGAACGAAGGTCGATGGATGAAAAGTAGCGTGCGCCGTGGAGACAATCGAGGGCGTCATCAATACGTGGTAAAGGATACACGTCCTTTTTGGTGATTCGATTTAGATGCCGGTAATCGATGCAAAAACGCCATGTGTTGTCCTTCTTTTTAACCAGGACGACGGGTGACGCCCATGGGCTTGATGAGGGCTCAATAATGCCTTTAGTTAACATCTTATTCACTTCAGCTTGAATAATCTGGCGCTCCGACGCGGACACGCGATACGGTCGACGGTGAATGGGAGCAGCATCACCGGTGTTGATGCGGTGCTTTACAAGAGAAGTTTGGCCGAGTGGGCGGTCGTCAAGGTCGAAGATGTCACGGTAGGAAGCTAGAAGGCGTGCGAGAGCGGCTGATTGCGCTGGGGGAAGGTCAGGGTCGATCATGGGACGTATTGACATGTCGAGGCATGTGGCATCGAGTGGGCGACAAGGAAAATTGGGGCATGCGTCGGCTGCGAAAGTGGTGACGTGATCATCGGCTAAGGACCGCAACGTGGCAATTAGGATGCCTTCAGGGAGGACTTGCTTTGTGAAGCCGAAATTTATGACGGGTAGACGGGTCCGGTTGGAGGCTACAGTTACGATGCAGTGAGGGACGGTGACGTCACGTGCCAGTAGGACATCAGGAATCGGCGTGACGATGTAATTCCCATCCAATACGGGTGAGGTCGTGGCAAATTCGGTGAATGTGAGGGCTTTAGGCGGTAAGCGGAGGAAGTCTGTGGCAGAAAGGCCGTGTTGAGGTTCAGGGTGAATATCCGGCTGAAGAGGAAGGTCTAAGCAAAGAGTACCAGCGGAACAGTCGATGAGAGCAGAATGGGTCGACAGGAAGTCCATCCCTAAGATGAGGTCATGAGGACAGTTCTGGAGCACCGTGAATAGAACAGGGATGTAACGGTCGGCGATGCGTATGCGAGCCGTACACATGCCAATGACAGGAACAGTGCCGCCATCGGCCACACGTACAGCTTCGGTAGCAGGGGGCGTGAGTACTTTTCTTAAGCGGCGACAAAGATGAACGCTGATGATGGACACATGAGCGCCAGTATCGACTAGTGCCGACAGAGAAATACCGTCCACGTGTACATCGACAAGATTTTTGTTCGTATGAAGCGTCAATGGAGGGTTTGGTTCAGACAGGGATGATGCAGCACTACCTCCAGGGGCTGCACTGTCTAGTTTTCCGTCGGGTACGATGAAAAGTTAGGCGGCGAGTGATGGCGGCGTGGCTGGGGCGACGGGGAACGACGGCGTTGAGGGGACGGAGAACGAGCAGGAAGGCGGCTGTTAGACGTGTCGAAAGCAGGGGCGGTACGGCTGGACGAATACCGGCGAAGATCTTCATATGGGCTATAAGGTGCGAAAAACTGGCTCCTATGTGGCGGCGTCCAGGAGGCACGGCAGTAGCGGGAGACATGTCCAACGCGGTGGCACCGGAAGCAGATCGGTTTGTCGTCAGGAGTTCGCCATTCCGCCGGGTTGCGAGATCGTGGAGCAACAAATGGGTCACGTCGAGGTGCATTAGTGGGAATTGGTCTGGAGGAGGGGCAAGAGATGGGGCAAGCATCAGGGAACCCGCGGTTGGCGAATTCTTGTCGTACGACCGCCTGAATAACGGAGATCGCGGGGGTTGTCGGTATCGTATGTTCGAAAGAAGTGGGCTGAAGCGGCGCTGGACTTGCTGCTTCAAGTTCCCGTCGAACGATACGCGTTACACTCTGCTCAAAGGGCGGTGTGACGGTAGAATCGGAGCAGGTGGACGTAGCCGCCGTGTTTGGCAACCGAGAAAAAGGAGGGCGCACCCGACGGCTTTTTGCTGTTTCGAAACGGCGGCATTCTTGAATTACACGGTCGATGGTCGAGACGTTAGTGAGTCCCTCCACCAAATATGTTACGTGAGTAACGAGACAAAGTATTGCGAATATATTCGAAAAATATATTTGCAAGAGCGGTTGCAGCACTGGCCAGTCTGGCTCCGAGCTCGAGCAGCCAGCGAGCCTCATCTTCCTCGTCGGGCGCACACGCGCATTCGCACTATGGTTTGTGGCAGCCTACAGGTAGCAATATGAAACAAATTTCATCAAAATCAAGCCAGTGGATTAATAAAAAAAGCGAGAAACTGACTCGTAAGAGTGTTTTCAAAAAGTATGAAAACACTCTCCCACTGTCTCATCAAGACACCGTCGCATGATTACATCAACTGGTATTTGGGATGTAACGTCCAAAGCAAGGGGCATGGAGTATCGCTTCTCAAGTCCTGAAGAGGGAATCTGTGTGGACTTCATGTCAGCAGAACACCACCTGCAGTTGCGCCTATTTTGAGGCTTCAACGCGATGTGGTCTGTTCCTGTAAAGCCTACTTCAATGCACGCATAGACCTTTTTTTTTCCCATTTGGCTGTTCTTGCTTTTGCTGACGAAATATTCGAGTACAGATGCCCTCCCTAAAGATGTGCCTACTTGTCAAGAGGCATGTGATGCCAGAAAAAATGTTTTCGCGCACCAATGTCCGCAGTCATGCTAAAGGGTCCCTGAAACACTTTTTCAAGTAACCATGGAATGAACTCTCTAGAAGAGCTTGTTGCCTCACGAGTTAAGCGTAGGAAAAATTTTAAAAATCCGTCCAGTGCGAGCGGAGTTACAAAGATTCGTCGCATGCTGCAATTGAATTCTTTCTTTCGTCCCGATGAAAGCGCTGGAAGCTAAGCAGGGAGGGATGGCGGGCGCAAATAAAAACGTCATGCGCGCCTCGTGACCTTGAGCACTTTGTCCACTTTTTTCTCCGAATGCGCGCCTTTTTCAGTGTGATCGCGCGCGCATGCGTGGTCAAGTCTCGGCCTCCCGCGGTAGTATCTGTAATGACCGAGCGCGGCATGTTCAAATCAACCTATGGCTGTAGATGGGCTTACTACAAGTAATTTTTGGGCTTATTCCGTGATTTGTCGAGAGAAGAGAAAATAATGTTTAGCTGACTGATAATTTATTGTGAATTCCAGGTCACGTGCTGCGCTATATTATTTGGCTCGCGTATTGTTGAGAGCCTCTACTACCAGCCGGCAGTGTTTCCTAAGCATGCTCAAAAAGTGTTGCAGGGCCACTTTAAGGGATGAGCGGGACTACTTCGCGGGAGATGGCTCCAGTGCGTTACTAGCCAAGTTTTTGTACAAGTTTACAAAAGCGCGTGATGACTAGAAACTAACATCTCATCTCCGAAAAACCGTAAACAAAGAAAGTTATCCAACATTTTTATTGATAGATTCTGTGTATCTCAAGAAGAGGAAAATTCAGAAACAATCATAAAAATTTACCGAAATTCAATGCCACTGCAACATTACTTCCGCCCTTTGGAAACATAGTAAAATATTTTTTGTCGAAATTACGTAGACTAAGGTGAGATATAAGTTTCTTAACGTTGCGCTGATAGCGACAGGTCATGTGGGAGAAAACTCTTTCTGCAGACAGAGAAGTGGGACGTATGTTTTACACTGTCGCACAGAGGGTTAACGCAACGATCGAGGTCCACGCTGACGTACTTTCGTTAAACCAAGCAATTCGTGAAGCATAGAAAGGAGGTTGTCGTTTCTTCGAGATCTAAAAAAAATGTTGTAGCGACACCTCGAGCTATTGTTCTTGCCTGCTTATGGGGACTGAAATGTCCTCTAAGGGGACCAGGGCATATCCAGGGTGACCCAGGTGACCCAGGTCCAGGTGATGCAGACCAGGTGGACGGTCGCATGAAGATATGATAGACCACCAATATTGCGAGATGCGCTGAATGAATACAGTGACTGTGAGAGCAGGCCTAACGAGAAAGTCGCGGGCGGGCGATCAGTGCTATGTGTAGCACAAACCATGAAATAACAAAATCAGGTATACCGCCGCCTCAAGCGACATCGAGTATTCGTGAGAGCGGTGCCGATTCCATTGAAATGTATGTCCGCAAACGGGGTTATTATCCACAAACTCTACAAAAGTACCCCTGAATTAGGCATATTCCAGGTTTCAGCGCCTTGCTAAGTATCCTTTTAATGATTACCGAACACCCATATCAACACTACTCCACGCAGTATGCAAAAAAAAGTTATAACTCAATAATCGAAACTCGACTTTACGAAGTTTCGAATGTAACAATGAAGTATCTGCTCCTGAGTTCCATACATGGGCGTGACGTGCAGCCTCATGAAAATAAAGCAGGGCCAGGACTTGTTAGAAAGCGACAAGGTTAAAAGTTCAACACAAAAGGACGTGAGCAGAAGAATTAACAGAAGAGCGCAGAATATGCGCATTGGCGGGCTTAATATGCTTGAGCCCTACACCTTGTCATGTATGAACTGGCCCAGAAAACCACGCTGTTACAGGGTGTGTAATACGCTGTCAATATGTTTGAAGTTGTAACCGACTGTATACTTTCGCTCTGGACATGCTTCAATATGTCTGCAACGCGCAGCTGAAGTGGAAGCCGTCATTGACCAATTGAAGACCTTGGTGAGAGATTACGTGCCCGACAAGGCCAAGGCACAGGAGTACCTGACTAAGATAGACAACGCTCACGAGTGCCTCTCCATCGCCAAGGACATGAACCCGGAAATAATAAAACAGGTTGGTACTATAGGCACCGTAGCAACGTAGATCACTTGAGAGCAAGCATTGCATAAGTTCAAAGAATGCATGCTAGGAATCATCTTTCCACAGGTATGCTTTCTCCGTACGGAGTGGTAGACAGTACACGGCCTATACACTTTTCAGCTCTCGTTTGCTTTATTCATTGAAATTTTCTCAAATGCTACTTTAAACAGGTTTTTCACATGAGGGGTGGTGGAAAATAAAAGAAAACAAGTTAATCGAAGTCGTGAAAACACGATTGCATGGCTGTTTGAAGGGAGCAAGATTGACATGAACGACGAGGTATACGTGCACAGAGAAAATCGTTCTAGTTCATGGCTATCTTGAAAAAAGAAAGATTGCAGAGGCTTTGCTGCGCGCGCACCTGAAGTGTGTACAGCTTTAACAGAGATGACCCACTGAGAGATGCGACGAGCTGGACTTATATGAAAAGAAAGAGTTGGACGAAACATGATAAAAAATCTTATGATATAATGAAGACCTTGCAATTCGCTTGCGTATTTGAGTACTTTGTAGTAGTGCCCTTAATTTTCATTTGGTTACACTAGTATTCTAAACAGAACATATAAATTCAACTCTCTGGTTTCGTACTGACTGAATCATTCTATCTATCTACGAGTTGATGGCTGTCCTTACGCTGCTGTCTGAAGTGATTTTCTAAACGCTGAGTGAATGCTGACGAGGCAAAATGATTTCACATATGCCCAGCTTGCTCAGGGAGTCATTCCGACAGTGATGGAGTGCGGTCGCAAATTCATTGACATGAAGGACCCCCAAGAAAGGGCGACTTCGGTGAGTACGACACCAGCCTTATTTTTTCTAACCTATTGATTGATTGATTGATTGAATGATTGATTGATTGATTTATATGTGAGGGTTAACGTCCCGAACCACCATATGATTATGAGAGACGCCGTAGTGGAGGGCTCCGGAAATTTCGACCACCTGGGGTTCTTTGACATGCACCAAAATCTGAGCACACTCTTTCTAACCCAACATAAGCGTTCATCATTACAAGAAACGAGCGCATTGCGGAAAAGCGAGTCTCTTAAACCTTGCCTAAAATGCTAGTTCATTATGTAGTGCGCGTTCTTGCAACTGTTAATGAGTGTGTTGCCCCTCAAGCATCCTCAGCGAATCATATCTTCAGAAAGATTATGCTATCCTATGTTCTCATGCGCCGAAATCCTGATTTAATTATGAGGAATGCAGTTCCTCATAATTCATAAGGGAAATGGAGTCGCTAATTTATGCACATTAATCTTTCAGATCAAGGGCTGCTTGGTAGAAAAGGCGAACAACTTCAAGGTGAGTTCCCCCTAACTAGCGAGCACTGCTGTCACTGACCGTTTGACTAGTCGATTTGCGAATATTTAACTATCAGTATGATTCACGTTGTGGTGTTATTCGATAAAATAGGCCTCAAGAACACTCGCGCGACTTTCAATTATTATGTTCTCTTCCGATAAAAGTTGGTGCTGAAAGCTATAGGTCGGCAACAAAAGCTGCAGCTCACTCAGAATCACTAAAAAACGTGATTTTCACTGATGATTCACTAGGACCCGCACAATTGATATCATCCTCAAACCAGAATCACCTGAACTCAAACCACGCAAATATTATCATTATTAATATTATTATCTTCAACTCGAATTCAAAGACACGCACGCACTATTCGGTCTGAAAGTGAGTGAGTATGACTTAGTCGACTCATAAGTGAGTTAACTGAGCTCTATGTTGACAGTGTCAGCACCGTCTTTTACAGTGATCCGTTATGATGAATCACCTGCAAACGTCTGATAATCACGAAACGTAACTACTAGGCACTAGACAATATTTTCCGAGAAATAGAGAGCAGGAAATGAATTGTTCTGCGCGAGCCTTAGTAATCAATCAAAAGTATAGTGTAACTAAATATTTAATTATACTGCAGTTAGCCATGTTTCCTATAGTTACATGAAAAGTGTGAAATTAGAGGCTCTAAAATAACGCGCGATTTTCTTTGCTAGTAATGAATTAAGGTAGAAAGGTATAACCATTCTGACGCTAGTACTGCATCACTGTGCATCAAAACACTTGTTGAACATTGTCGGGCCTTCACCAGAGTGATTGGATGTAGTCATGCTCCGCCCGCTAAGGTCAAGTCAATGCACACTGGCAATAGAGAAGTGTATTTTCATTTTCTGCGCAGTGCATGTTGTTCCTTCGAGGCGATTAGATGAAATAACTGGCTAAAACGAGTAGCGTTTATGTATTTGAACACTGCGTCTCAGTGGGATGAGCAGTTATGTGAACAACGGGACGAGCAGTTCTCAACGAACACACTATAGAAGCGAGTAAACACGTTGTCCTAAAGTTCCAGCAAATAAGTTTTCTACAATAAGTAAAGTACGGAAGCATGGGGAATCCGCAAGGAAAAGTCTAAAATAAAACGTAGGACGTGCCTTATGAAATATTATGCGAAGCAGTATCAACGTTATAATAGAGATAAAAAACGCAGACGTGACAGAAACAACAAATGAGATAAAGAGTGCGTAAGTCAACTCAAAAACAAAAAAAAATGCGATGAAAATCTGGCAGGTGCCGTTGCCAGCGAAAATATTATGTACAGAAAACATGTCCCTGAGGTTTATGATGTAAGGTGAAAGTTGATGTAAGAACAGATGACTGGGTGTGTTGGATATGCACATTTTGAGGCGCGAAACGCGGCGATGACAATTGACCGAAAGAGTACAGATGGTGTTATGTGTGGTACACCCAGCCGGCACATTCTAGTGCAGCACAAGTAGCGTAGTGCAGAGGTGAAATGCGAAAATAAACAAGATAGAAGCGGCGTCGTTTTTTACACTGCCTACACTTCCGTCACTTCACTCTCGCACATCCATTGCTCTACAGCAGCACAAAACACAAGGCACAGACATGAACCATCTACGGTGGCCGAGCTGTCATCCCATTTTTGTCAATTGTTCCGGAAGCCGCGATGGCTCAATCTATCTATCAGTTACGAATAAAAAATCGCTTGTCCGTTCATCTGCCACGATTGCAAAAGAAGGAGAAACGCTGAACACAATAAAAACGTAACGAATCAAAACGAGACATTTGGGTTCCCACCCAGGATGCCTTGTGCCCAATGGAGTTCAAATGTATTTTGTTTACTATGAAATCCTTTGTTGTGATTTAAAGTGTTCTTATTGTGGTAGGTATTTCTTCTTTGCAATACCTCCTTATGGACAGACGAGATTCCGTCAAACCCTTACTTCATCAGTCTCAAGTATTGTAAAGTTATAAAAAAGAACAACATCTGAAATTTTGTGTGCACGGCAACAGTATGAATGGCACCTCTCTCTCCTTTTATTTCACCTTTGCCACCAGCCTGGCGCCACACGTACGGTATGAGGCGTATACATGATACGCGCTCGCGTGTTCCCTTTCATAAAGATGATGGCTGTACTTCCGTGTGTCCGTCGTCGTCGTCGCACCTTACAGTTAAAAATACTAACTCACAATTCACTACTTCAATTATACGACACACTCATACTTGTCTTATAATTGTTAATGACCTAGCTACGTAACATGAAACTGCGTTTAGAAAAAGTGAGTAACAATTTCGCGTACTTATTACTCTAACATGGCAGAGGTGAAAGCTGTCCCGTTGGCCTCACACTGGGCGAGGCCGTATCGTGTGTTTAGAAAAAGTTGGTAACGATCTAGAGACGATCTAGAGTACTCGGTATTTTACTTTGGGAGAGCTGAAAGCCGTCCCGTGAGCTGGCAATATGTGTTTAGGAAAAACGTTTAACGACTTAGAGTTGATACTCTACTACAGGAGGGTTAAAAAAGTGGGTAGCAATATAACAATCTTACAGAAAAAGAGTTTTGGGCTAGTTGCTTTAGTACGTTCAATACAGCCGTAGTGCTGATTGGACAGGAACCACAGAAAGAGTACGGGATATTGGCTACTCTTTCTGTACACTTTCCATGATTCCTGTTTTATTAACACTAGGGGCGCATTAAACTTCATCTAGTTTGAGTTGAGGAGAGTGCGTTTATACCGAGTGCTTCAGTATAAAAATAAATACTGCACTCACTGTATATGTTACATCAATGTCATTGCAGCAATCCAGTGGAATGACGCCTGACGAAATAAAGATGTTCGACGATACTTCGGTGAGTCTTTTTGTAATCCCGTCACTGCAGCTTCGAAATTCACGTGTGACGACTGGAGAGCTTCATTATCTCCTTCAGGAGCTGTTTAGGGTGCACTGTGCTCAGATGTGCCAAATGTACATACCTTATTTGCAAGGTACTGAATATTACATTCCAAGAATGAAACTTAAGTATATGCTGTTTAGTGAGAGTTCCTATGAATAATTAAAGTTAGTATGATAATAAATATCTAATTATTCTGCAATCAATCATGTTCCTCTTTTCACACAGAAATAATGAAACTATCGGCTCCAAATGTGCGTGCAATAAGTTTTTGTTGCATTCATTTCGAGAAAAGAAATAAAAAGTAGCACTTTTCATATCGGTTGTAGAACGTGGAACGTCAAACGATGCCTCAAAACAAAGCAGTGCCTTGGTGGGCTACCGTAACAGGCAACACACTGACTTTTGTGCCCAAGCATATTGAGCATGCAGAGAGGTAAATTCATTCGGTAAGCACTGCGTCTTGCTCTTACTTCTCCAGAAGTTGACAAGACGCATAGAATAGTTGCGTACATAAACGTGGTCACCGAAGATGACGGTTTATGCTGACAGAGCGGATACGTTTATACTTAACCGACGGTTTTCACACTTTTCATGTATTTCCGGTGTATGCAAATATATATAGTAATAACATCCAGGATTTTACGCGCCACAACCATGATATTGCTGTGAAGTACGTCGCTTACAGAGTGCTCCGAAAATTCGGGTAGCCTCCATGGGGTTCTTAAAGGTACACCTAAATCGAAATGCAGGTACCTCAAGGGTTTCGCCTCCATCAAAGTGTGAAAGCCGTGCTTTGATGAAGTTTGTGCGCTACACGGATTTTATGCGGGCCTGCCTCTTTCCCACGTTTAAGGTTTCGCACCTGCATGAACTTGTCTGTTATTTTTGTTGTAGTCACTTTTTTATGCCTTAAGGGTATAGTGGACATGCCATATTTTAGTCAACGTTGATTTTGAAAGGAATGAGCAACTTTTCAGAACCTTTATGAATACATTAAATATTTACAGTACTTGCTGCAGGTTAATTATAATTACTGTAATTGCACTACCACGAACTCCGAACCACTTACATGTTCTTGAAAAAAGACTGACATTTTATGGAAACGCCTGCTGAGATATTTAAAAAAGAAACTACATTTTGATACTGTATACGAGACCGATTGTAGAGAAATTGTGAACCGTAGCTGACAGGCATTTCACTAAAGGTTCGAAGCAATCGTGTGATTTTGCATGTATACTGATTGGGAGAGTTCTGTCTTACACAAATCTCGCTCTTTATTTTCAGGCCTGCCTCCGAGAGCAAGCCAAAGGAGTAGTCTAATCTGCCTAGAAATGGAGCGTAGTCGAAAAAAGGTGATACGCCGAATATAGAAGGGGGCCACAGTGTCTCGACAAATTTTACCAAGTGCCGAACAAAATAAATTAGGAAAATGAACAAATTGGAGTCATTATTTTCTCTGCACAAGAATATAAAACTATCCACGCACTTGAGAACAGTTAACGCAGAGCACACCATCACCACGTAGCTGCCCATGACTGGAGAGTGAGGAGGGGGGGATGTCTCCGTGTGTTATTTCGTGTACGAAAACACTAGCGCATGTATGTGACGTATAAATTGGGCAAAACTGACTGCTCACCACTGGTCTAATGAAAATAAAGATGGTAACACACAGGCACTAAACACAAATCAATATTATGGATACACCACCAGGAACAGGTGGCAAGCAAGAAAAGGCGATGCATGTTAGGGCAATGAAAAACTTGAATCAGCGTATACGCCGTCCTCAAAGGTGACTATCAGGGCAGGCATTTCTGATAGATGCAAAAATGTTTCAAAAGCCGGTTGAATTCGTTATTGTTAAATGTTTACTCCGACTTACCCGAATGGTTATTATCAAAATTGCAAAGAGGTTTTAACCGGCTACGCGTATGGTATAATCAGCATACTATGGCAACAAATGAGTGGAGGTGGACCACCCCACTAGTCATGTAACAGTCGAACCTCAATATGGGTAGCAACACGCTGTCATCTTCTTGGCTCGATATGGCGTCATTACTGCAAAGGGGCACCTATACATGAAATAAAAATTGATCTCTCTCAGGCAGCGGTACTTTCTGAATCTATTCGACGTCCGTAAATATCATTTTTTTAGGTTCGGGGTCAACCACAACGTGCCGCATATCATATATGATATATTCAGTATCCATATCATATGTGAATATATAGCATATCATATACAAATAACATATACGCATATCATATATGAATATATCATATATTATGTATTCAATAATATTCGGCGTGACTGTACGTCCTCGTGAACATCCTGTAGGGACGTTTGCCCAAAGCTTACCAGGACCGCGGCCTCCTGCCAGACGTCTACAGCGGCGTATATGACTATACTGCCGGGCAACATTTCTTGGCAATGAAAGGAAAGCTATGAGGGCGGATCTTCTGCACATGTACCACTACGCGAAGTGTTTCATGGGTCCCGTAACGCCGTGGAAAGTGATCGCTGTGCGAGACCAGCGTTTCTTATTTACTCAGATGCAGCTTGGCGTTCGAGCCTCGAGGTACACGAGGTTTATCACGTGTTCAAGAACGGGATGTGACAAGGAATAAATTTAAACAAATGCCAATATTTTGACAGCGTGAACTGCGTCCTATGTCAAAGAGATACACGCAAAAAATGAAGGCCCTTCAATATACGGCATTATTTCCCCCATCTCACGTTGAAAATAGGGGACAGAATTGCAGGACCACGGTTATGGCGGAAGGATAGGTGTGATTTCGTTTTGTTATATTTGGCTCCAATGCCAAGAAAAGTTGTCCGTGACTGTAATGTACCGGTTGACCTCGCTCATTTGTTGCCAGTACATACTGAGCATAACACATGCGTAGGTGGCGAAACGTTGATGTCATGTATGTTATAAGCAATTGTGTGAAGTGCCGGAGGAAACCTCTCGCAATCAGACATTTCGGAATTAGCTGCAGAGCATGTCAGCA